GGCTCTGGTTGTTGGTGCATATATTTGAATGATAGTGGTATTCACTGGACTTCCTTGTATGCGTATAGATATTATCCTGTCACTGACAATATTTCAAATAAAATGTTAAAATAATTACCATTTCATAACATCAAAGAATAAGCCTTATTTAACTTCATAATTCACTTACTCTCCCTAGGCATAATAATCATTGACATTTAAGTTAGAAACTCTAGAAACATACTCACACAACTCTACAAAGTTAAATGAGGTGATGGTTGCCACAGTAATACATAACAATATTTTGTCATTTTCAATAGGAAGAGTACAAATGTGTATTTCAGAATATTATTTTATTAATTATAACATGTTGAATAAACAAGATTGTAAGCTTCTTTTAGTTGACAGGTATTTCAGATGTCTATATTATTCAATTTTTATACATCTATGAGACTTTTTCCTATAAGTTTTTAAACTAGAATAATCCCCAGAATGAAATATCATTTCAGAATTTACATGAAAACTTAATTTTTATTTTCATTGGTTAATAATTTATCAAACACTGGATACTGTTGATGTATACCAACACAACAACAATAATGTTGGTTAAGTCATAACCAACCCATAGCTGATGACCCCCAGCAGGTTTTCGGAGGCAGTAAATTTCATGGGAAGAAATTAACCATCCTCCCACAGAAGAGTTGGCTAACTTGAACACTATATAATACATTTTACTTTATTTACACACAGCTGAGAAAGAAAACATTCATATATACAAGTCATTCTTATAGAGACTAATACACAATAGAATAGATCAGAAAGCAAATAAATGTAAAATTCACATTATATTTGAGTCTACCACCAGACTTCTAGATATGGATCAAAGCTTAGAAATGAAGTTGAATTACCATCATCAACTGGAAAAAATAATCTTATAAAGTAATACTTTTTTTTTTTTATAAACAGTAAGATTTATTGAGCTGTATCTTAGTACAGACGCTGGGGCTTGCCCATGGTGCTCTTGATATACAAAGCCCGAACATTCTGCCAAT